AAACAACAGAATTTTAAATAATAATAATTCATATATCAACAAAATTATAGTTATTTATAGATATTATCAAATTTTCAGTTTATGGACGCAGGAAATTGTACGAATTCACTTTCAAGGTCTTAGTTACTCAAAGATTATATCCACAGCGATGTTCCAAAATACTGTGGAATGCGTTCAAGAATTCAAGGTACATTTTATCCTTGTTGTTTATCAAATGGGAAGAACGATTTTGATCAAGTATCTAAAAATAGATACATCTGAAAATAACTTTGGAGGAACATCAAAATGTAGTTATATAGAATGTCAAACTGGTTAGAATGTTAAAATTTTTTTGCAGCATTGCTCTGAGCAATTTACTCATCATGCTTGAAATTCCTACGTATTATTTTGTGTGTAATTTGACAAAATTGTTTTTAGATTTGTATCTAGTTAAATTTTTAGATATTTTAGTCTTTTCATGTGGACCCGAGTGAATTAAATTTCTAAAATAGCCCTGAGTAAGAAAGTTAACTCATAGATATTCATAATTGATTCGTATTTCAAGACTATCTTAAGTAATGTTACAAAATGACATAAATAGATCAAAGTCAATATTCAAGAAAAGAAGAAGAAAAAGATAAAGCCGAAGAAAATTCTTAAAATACGAACCAATTATAATCGACCTATAAGTTAATAATTCTTTTACTCGGAGTATAGAGTTTTTGGAATGTAACTCAGGAAGTGAATTTTTCTCGAAGAGAATTTATTTTGCGGAACGATATCAATATTCTTTCCTGTGCATATGCATAATTTCCTTTCTTCCTGCGTCACGAAGCGCAGTTTACGAGGTACTTCTCGGAGGACGCGCACATCAGCATGCAAGTCGTCTTTCCGAGCAGAATCGCAGTCGAGCCTCTTTTCTTCGCTGATCCTCGAGAGGAGTTCTCGAAGAAATCTCGTCTCGCGATGACTTCGCGTCTTATCTCTGCTTGCTCGAACCTTATTTATACATACAGAAATTGGCAGTTCTCACGACGCGTCGTCACGTTAATTGCTTAGGCCAGATGTACCAGCTAGAGATTCGCAAGAGATATTACTTCCGCTTCACTCTCGACGTCCACACGACAGCGCGCTGATGGAAAAAGACGATGTGAAATCGCCGTGAAAATCCGGGCAAAAACTAACACGACGACGGTTCCGTTCGCTTTCCTCGCGATTTCGTTCCGTTTAATGCGAGACAACTTTTTCCCAATTAAATTACGAAGGTGAAATAGAGAGAACGACCGGCTATGGGATGGCCTTGAGCGATAGGATTAATTTGACATGTAGATTAAAGAGAAGATTAAACTTCTCTACTTAGCCTTTCATTGCTCCTGTTGTAATACCATTTCTATTATAATGAGATTAACTAGTTACGGGAGTAACTAGTTAATCTCATTATAACAATAAAATTTGCTACGGTAGATCATAGTTAGTTGATTGAACAAGATCGATCGTTTTACCTCGTCAGTAGTCGTTTAATCTCTCCGTTGTACACTGTAATGTATAAATTTGAAAATATGCATTATTCGTTGAAATTATTTAATTCTATCGACATAATAATGTATATGTTGGAAAAATAATCAAAATTTTGAAAAAAAATTAACTATTTAGTATAAACTTTATATAAAATACACATGAATTGAATTAAAAAAAAAATGTTTTAACATGATTCCAATAAAATCAAGTCTGAAGAGGTTAAAAGCTGACGAAGATACACGCAATACCGGTTACGTTTTAATTGTTAATAGAACGAATGCAAGATAATGACTGATAATTATGTGTGAAATAGCCAAGGCCGGCCGTTTTTTCGACGATCGAAAGTACTGAAGTACTTTCACTCGGCTTCCGTTGGTATTGTCGTGAAAGAACACATCCGGTGTACCTTCTTAGTCTTCGCTTTTTTCGAAAAAGAAAAATCTCGATTGAAGCGCAAACAGTCTTTCGAAGCTGCAAACAGTCGGACAGTCTCAATGGATAATCGTTCAATGATATCAGATAACGTAGCTTCAGAGCTGCAATTTAAGAAGTTTGCGCTCTTAGTTCTCATGTCTTTCCTGAGGCGATACAGGTAAAAGGCCGCTTTAACTATCTCGCGGCTGTTTCTCAGAGGGTTTCTCAGGGGCTGAAACTCAAGTCAGAGAGCTGGAAAGTGCGGTTAAGACGACGCAACACGAAGACGGATACACTCTCGCCTATATATTGAATTTCCTTCACCAGGTAGATCTCGTAGTTTCTGTTTTGTGTAACAGAATTGTGTGTAGCAGAACTGCATCGATATTTCTGGTTTGTTCCAGTCTATGTAACTCGTCGATGACTTCGGGATTGATCTTTTTGTACCGAAAGTATCGTATACATTTTACTGTAATAAATGTATATCCGCTCAGGGATAATGTGTAATTATAAATTATTCAGTTATTATTACACCGGTAGTTGTTACCGTACACCGTGTCGAACCGCGGCTATGGTCAGCTGTGATCAGGAACTTCGTTAAATGTCAGTCTGGTGAACGCCAGTATAAAGGGCCGTTAACTTCAGTGAGTGCACTTGAGGATTCAGTAATAAAAATGCTGGTGATATGAATATATGAATATTTAACGAGCGCAAAGAATATTTTAGTATAAAGTTTTGTGCGAAATACGTATTTTTAAATTATCTTACGATCAATAGAATAATAGTTTCAAACGTTTGTATGCTTTTCACTTTTCTCGTCAATATAATGCGGTGACATATAATTTAAATCCTTGTCTGATTTATCCGAAAAATATTTTTACTGTGACACTTTGGATTATTCCAATCCATGATAGACATCACAAAATTGATTGTTTAAAGTCATTAGTTGATACACGGAAAGAATAGTTTTGCTAAAATATCTAAAAATTTAGCTGCATTGGGGAAAAACATTAAATTTTAATAAATATTTGTTCGAATAGTTCTGAATAAATATTTACTAGATGTAAACATATGTTTATTTGATACAAAAAAACATTAATTCGATTTAATTATCATTTTTATTAAGTAAATATTTAGTTAATAAGTAAATGTTTACTTAGCACTATTTAAAGTCAACTTTTAGTCAATATTTTTAGTCAATTTATATATATTATTTATTATATTATATTTATTATTATTATTTATTTTATTTATTATTTATTTAATTATATTTAGTCTATTTTTTTGTCAAAATAGATCTGAAAATAATTTTGTTGAACCTTTAAAATAATTATAGAGAATTCTAAGCATCGATGTTAATACTGGCAAAAGATTCAACATTTTGGAACCTTTGTTCCAAAGTTTGAGAGTCCTATATAATTATTTTGATGGCCGAAACAAATTTTTTTCTGATGAGTATCTAGTTAAATTTTTAGATACTTCAGTAGCACTACTTTTTCCTTGTGCAATACTGAAAAAAAATTCGAAAGTTTTAAATCCCTAATTCCTTCTCTTTCCGCACGAAATTCGTTTTCGCTTGAAATTTCACGTGTGTATTCTCTTTCAGTACGCTTTCGACGACGTCGTTGAACCTCGGGCACCTCGCGCGTCGTTTGAATGTTTTACGCTTGGTCCGAAACAATGCTGGGAACACAGCTCACGGGATGCCTTAACATCGCGAATGCAACTGGCTCCAGTTACCCGTTTGGCGAAAAAGACGAAGAAGAAGGAGAGATCAGGCGAGAGCGAGCAGGCGGACGCATGCATGAATGGCATCGTGCTACCACGATTCAACTGGGACAGATATTCGAATCTCGTGTGTTACGTTCGCCTTCTCTCCACCTACACGTGTACTCGTACCTACCGCCGCGTCGACATGCACTTAATTATCGCATTTGCGATATTATCGCTTGAGGAACGCGAAAGTCGGAGGGAAGCTCTGGTAACCATCAACCAATCCGATGAAATCGAGTCTGACCTCCGATGTGATTCCCTTCTTTTAGTTATCGACTCGATAATTGAATCTTATTATCGTTTTTCTAAAAACCCTTCTAATCAGACTCTAGCCAGATTTTAGCTATAACTAAATTTTTAGATATAGTTATTTTTAGATATTCAGATCTGTATAACTATAGTTTAACCCTCTTAAGTATAATCTTAAGATATCAAACCAATCATATCCGTAGTCATTTATAGGCTTTCTACAATAAGTCATTATCTAAGCTTTAAGTCTTAAGCCATAAGAAATTGATCAATTACAATTGAATGTGAGAAAAATAATTGATTTGATCAATTTCTTATGGCTTAAGATTTGTAGGTAATGACTTGTTGTAGAAAGCCTATTATATTTAAGGCTTCTTTAAATTTATTTTCAGATGCTCTAAGAATTATTTCATTGACTATTGAGTATCTAAACTTTAAGGAAACTTTAAGTACAAGGTCCAACTACGATTACTCTCTTGTCGTGTTAGCATTTTAAGAAATTACTTAAATTTTTAGATATTTTAATAATTTTTTTTTTTTTTTGAGAGAAGGAGAAAAAGATGTATGTTATTTCGCTCTGATCAAAAATTTAGTAAAAAATATCGGTCCAATCAGATTGCTATCTCGTGACCAGATTTCGATCGGAGGATTCCTACATTTTTCAAGAGAGCAATATTTCGTTGCTTTCAGTTTCCCACTTTCGTTTCGCTTCATGCGATATATGAGTACTTATCGCAGGGTGTGGTGCGGCTAATGAACTAGTATCGAGACACGTAGGCGGAAGAGTTTGTCTAACGAAGCGAACACGAAAGCGACAAAAGTCGGAAACAACGTTCTCGACGGTTCGAGAGTTGACTCGAGCGAAATAACTCGTCTGGACTTCTCTTTCCGCGAGGACGTGTGCGGGAAGCTGATCGGCGTGATATTTCGACTGGAATATGACCCGACGACCTCGGAATAGAATCTAAACTCCCCCTCACGTCGGATACTTTCTCTTGAGAATGTTCCGGACGAAACGTTATTAATCTCTTCATCACTGACGGGCGGCGGAGGTGAAGGAGGCGAAAAAAAAACGGAGATCTATTGTTTTGAACGGTGCGCAGGTGCATCGGCTTGACCTTTCGAGCGCATAAGGAAAGTGCAAACCTTCAAACGTATAAGCCAAGTTATCCGGTGCTGTATCGGATGTATTACGTCGCGCGGAACAAGTTTCGAGTACCGCAAAGTGCCTCGCGAACGCTCTAATTTGACTATCGCCGGACTATCCTTTTTCCGATAACACTCGCCGTTCCCAACATACAATTTATCTACGTGCGCGTAAACTCGCTGGCGTTGAAAAGAAAGAAAAAAAAATATTAATACTATTGCGCAATCTCTTCAGCCGGTGTAAAAGTGAGACTTTCACCAGAAGCGGTAACGAATTGAGAATCATTATTATCGTGGGGGTTCCCAGTACAGGTACGAGGACTCCATGAGGGTTAATCACGACGGTGGCATTAGCGAATGATACTTGTTACTCGTAAGTTGGCTCTCCTTATCCAATCATTTCTAATAATGATATCTCGCAAATGTAATGATGAGAACGATGAACTTAATTGGATTCTGCTGCAACTTCACACGAAGAAAAAGCTTGAGTAATTTTCTTATAAAACTATAATAGTAAAAATATTTTGACTATTTTTGCCAGAAAATAAAAATACCGAAAGTGCAAAGTAAAAAGTACATTATAATATAATTGTAGTAAATCCATTCAAGTGATTATTATCTTATAGTAAAGTAATTCATACTATTTTCAGGCATGAACAACTTTCAAGATTTTATATACTTGTATTTTATACAAGTATATAAGATTTTTATCGCGCAGTAAAATAAATTTTATCAGCACTAAGGCAAAGATATTCGATAAAGTGAATTTTATGGAGAAATGACGGTATATTTATAGATTTATTTTAAAATGTAAAAATACCTTACAATACGACTGTATAGCAATCGTTTATTTATTAGAAAAGTGAGTTTTACATAAATTGGCCCTCTGTATAGATCTGCCGATTCCGCAAAATTTACTAGAATCTAACGCATATTATATGATGCGATTCGCTGCAAATGCTTTGAAGCATTCTTTGATCAATTCAAAAAAATCTTTCTTCTGATTAGCCAACGAAATATTTGCAGCGTTATGTGAATCGTATCAATAATAATATAAAACTTTCAGAGTGAATTATCATTATTAAAAGTGAAATTTCTCACTCTTAAAGATTAAAAATTGAGCCATCTTCTTCAAAACTCAGTTGTCACTCTTTCGAGTGAGATTTTACTCCAAAGAATTTAGAGAGTACTTTACATTTTTCTTTGTATGCGAATCTGCATTTGCAATAAGATGACTATTTCCGTAAAGCAGCGAAAAAGGACGAAGCGAAGCATTTTCTGGACAAACTCATCGATTTCTCGCGTACCACTTTTCCCACACATAAGCATATGAGCTGCATTATGCGTTTCCTACGCGAGAACGGCTTTTGTTGTTAATAAGCTGAGGCTTAAGGGTCAACGGAACACGTCGGAAATTTATCATCTTCACTTACTTCTTCTTGGATATACCTACCTACACCTCGTACATCGTTCGCGCGATTCTTCCTCGTAACGGTTGGTTTACCACCGACCGTGTCATTAAACTGACGTAGTGGCGAAACGTCAAAAGCGAAAGAATGGAATTTCCTTTTTTTTTAACTTGTTGATCGCGATACGGCAGGTAATGTCCGTCTCTCGTGATTGTGCGAGTAACGAGGGCACTGGGCCGATGTTTTCGGAGGTCATCGCAACGTGAGGTTGAATTGATTGAGGGTTCATTAGAAACAATAGGATTTGGATTCGTTCCAAAACAATCAGATAGGATACGAAATGTATAAATGATTCACGAACTTCGGTAACGAAGCGGGATTGTCCGATCTGCACGAATGTTCGTAAAATGTACAAGTTAGATGCCATCCTCAAATTATTCTGCAAATTCTCGTACATTTTTTGCAACGTTTCAAACGCTGTTCAACAATCCTTTCTATAGAATGAGTCCCAGACAACATACGGGGAAAGCTATATAAACGCGTATGAATATTTATGTTTATTCTACTATTTTAACGTTCACCGTGGACAGTGAACGTGTCAAACGACATCTGATAAAACTTTTACATGTCACGTATTGCCGATTGTTGCATTCGCCATTATGTCCAAGTGGATCAAGGTTTTGTCGATTATTAACGTAACGTAACTAAACATTGATACGCAGGAACGGCGCGGCTTAATCGCTGTTATTCGTCTAGTAGCATCGGATTAATTAATATTACAACTTCGAAACAATGAAACGACCATGATGATTAGTCTTAACGAAAAAACTTGCTCGTCATCCTTCGAGCTATTGTTAGTGAAGTATATTGTTGACGTTCACGTTTTATTCATCCGATCATCGTGGAAAATGCGAAGGCATTCTCTAACAGTATTTATAATCCGTTCTTATTTTAAGATCGTCTCAAGTAATGTTTTAAAATCCTAATACGATTCTCTGATTGGTTTATGAATGAATCTTAAGAATATTTCCGAGTTGAAATTTTAGTCCTACTTTGAAGCTCAATAAAATCTTATAAACCTATTTTTATACTTAAATAAATAGGGCCTCTTTTAATAATAAATTTACTTATCTTCAGCTCTTTTATTTAGAAAACTTCTTTTGAACTTAAAAATAGAAAATCTTGCAATAACTGCCATTTACAGACTCAACATAGGAGCTCAATTCATTAGATTAGAATCTATTATAAATTTCTAGAGTCTATGTCACCTTTAAAGTCTGTATACGTCTTAAAACTAAGAAGAGACGGTCTTAAATATAAAACTATGAATACTGGCCTTTGATTGATTCATGACATGTTAAGAGTGTACTTAAGATTTCAAATATAAGATCCATCTGTAAATATTGTCTATAAGTGAGCTTACATATTTTATATTAATTTTCAAGCGAGCGATGAACACGACGATTTTTCTCATTCATCACCTGTCAGATCACCCTGTCTCGTCAACCTACAGCCCCCATTTCCCTTGGTGGGAAGATATGCACGCACGACGAAAGATTTTAGAAGTGGGACACCTTCTCTTATCGCGCCGGATCATCCCGTAAACGACGGTAACGAGCCACGTAGAAAGGCAGAAGGGAAAGGATGAGGATTCCGGAGTGAGAGTACTGAAAGAGCACTTAGGGGATTTAAGTGCTTCCGAGAGAGAGAATGACGAAAGATTTGATTTATCGTTACTTGTCGGAATAATCAGAGAATGAACATTTTCTTTATGATAAATTTAGCGCTACTCTCTCAAAGGTTAATGTTCCTCCCGTTTCAACGGGGTTCAAGCTCAGTCCAAGCGTCAATGCGCTTCGGCGCTTATCCGAAATTCAAAACTGCTGAAAAGTGGCCGGGTAGTAAGATCCCCTCTCGATCGAAATGACGATATTGACGATGTGGAGAGACGGGGGCAAAAGTCGGGGCCTGAAGCGTAAGAAAGAAAAGGGAAGGGAGACGAGCGCGAGAAAGGAAGGAGTTGTTGGATTACCGCTCGGTGGGCACACGACGTTTCGATCGAGTTGGCTACCACACAGCCACAGAAGACCGGCTACCTCCGACGGAACCGGTTGTGTGTCAGAAAGGGCAACGACGGGAACTGGCAGGTTCCATCACGAGCGAGTCATGAGCGGGCAAAGCGTGGACATGGTCTGGGACCCGCAGACCCAGACCAACTCGTTAGAAGGCTGGGATTATTCTATCGAGCTCGCGTACCTTAAGAGTCTTAAGGGATCCTCCTCCGAAAGTAGTAAGTAAGCGCGAACGTAAGAAGAGATGATTGAAATCTGTGCGGGAAAGATTGACGGTGTCATTAATATGTGGTGTTGTTGTGATCAAAAGGATGGTGTTTATTATGAAAGAAGTGATAGTTAGAGAGAGATAGATTATTTGCGATCTTTATTGTCGATCATGTGTCGAATTATAACTGTTGTGATTGAAGAACGTATATTTGGAGAAAAGCAGACGGCAACTGTATAAGTATAACAATAACTAATACATAACAATTTTATATTATTGTGTAGAATTAATTTACATTGTCGAATAAACTATCTTGTAATTGCAATAATTATATATACATTAATTCTATGTACATACAAAACTTGTACAGTTGTCATCTATATAATTGCTATTACTATATTTCTCTAAGTGTATAAAAAGAATAGAAAAGGCATCTTCACTAAAAAGATCTATAAAGATATATCGATAGAAAGAACGGTTTTGTTAAAGCATCTTAAACTTAGCTAGCTATGTAAGTACAGATCTGAAAAACTTTGTTGCACCATCAAAATAATTATGTAGGGCGTTCAAGTTGGTTGCTAATAAAATGTCAAAACTTTTGCAGCATTATTTACATCTTGAAATTCCTACATAACTATTTTGATGGTTCAACAAAATTATTTTCAGATCATTTCTCTATCTAGCTAAATGTTTAGATACTTCAAAATAATTCTTTCTGTACGTATCTGTTTTACTGCGCAGATGTTCAGTTCAGGAATCTGTAGGGAAACAATTTTGCGGCAATTTTATGCGGTGCTCCATGGCATTTAAAAGTATTTAAAAATCAATTAAGAAAATGAGAATTCCGTCCATGAACTTCGCGGGTCACATTGTTCCATCGCGACACCGAGCACCGAGTACTGCGAAACGGTAGCTCGGTCGTTTGCTCACCGCGAGAAGGTCCTTGGCCCTAGCCGGTGTCAGAATGAGGGAGTGCCGCGAGCGTGAAACAGCAACCTGTAACCGTCGCTCGGCAGGCTGCATAATTATTATTCGAAGCGAGCTCGGGACGATTTCGATTGCATCAACGTAGATATTCCTTGCGAATTCCCTCAGGTTCAATACGATGATCCGGAACTGAAATTATCGTTCACGCTTCGATTCTCTCTTCCCGGCACGTACTTATCAGAAATTCAATCCGGATAGATTAAAAACAAGAAATGCGCTCGTGCAAGAAAGCGTTCATGCAAAAATACGCCTCACGTTTTGTGCAGATCTACAGTTGGCGGCGGAGCTCGGCAAGACCCTTTTGGAACGGAATAAGGAGCTGGAGAACATCATCAAACTGCACCAAGCTACCGAGGAGGAGCAGACGCAAGAAATCGAGGTTACTATAAATTTTTCCACGAATAATTGTTTGAATGATAATTATTGCCCACGGCAAACCGGTTACACTTCAATTACTTTCTGATAATTTTACTAATAGCTTCCGCGTCTTCCGTATGGCTTTTTTGTAACGTATAAGACTTGAATAGCGACAATCGCGGGGCACAGTAAGAAAATTCGAGTTGTAACGATTTACGGAGTTGCTCAACCTCGAAATTGCACTGCTCGATGAATACGCGTGTTATTTGTTCGTTCCGTAGTACATGAAAAAGCAGATTGCCGCCCTGAGGGAGGTGAACAATACACGCCTGAAAGTCTACGAACAGCTGGAAGTTAGCGTGCAAGATCTGGAACGTGCGAATCATCACCTGGTGATCGAGAACACGAGCGATAAGAAACTGATCAAAAGGTAGGCGTTATCTTTTCTTCCCTCTTTTTTTACGCCATTTCTTCAATTGGCAAAATGATTTTCGAATAAGGAGGGAAAAAAAAGAAGAAAAAAAAATTAGCATTCTCATTCGAAAGAAATGTATCGCTTGATATTCCAGATAAGATTATATTAGAAATATCGCGGAAAAGTGCTGGCCTAACGAGATCTGTTATTACATCTTGTTAGCTTTGTATTGTATTGGCTACGTGAACCGTTCTAAGCTCACCTTTCTAAATGCATAATTCATGCACCGTCTGATACAATTAAAGTTCATGGAAAGTTATTAAGTATTATTTTCCTATTTAACACCATTCTAATCTTCCTAATGGAATCTATTTCTCTCAACAATAAACTTTTCTATTATTAACGATATATGATGTGTAATTCTGTCTGGGATTTCGGGGTCAACGTGCTTCTCGTACAGATCGGGTTCGACGCCTTGCGCTTTGGCTTTCCGCGATTGACCCGAAATTCCGGAGAAACTTCGCCGGAGACGCGCTGCGCATTTCTCCGAACGAGGCGACATTTCGAACAGATGTTCGGTCGTCGGAGAAATTGCGATACTGTGCAATGTTCTGCAGGAGACTCCTACTGATAATCATATAACGATTTGTGCGCGACCAGCCAATCCGTGACTATCGAGAATCTGGAAGTAAGATGCGAGGAGCTTCAGAAAAAGATTGACGACCTGACCGAACGACTGCGCCAACATGCCACGAGCCCGTCTAGGAATAATGCGCAACAACAACATCAGCAACAACAACTGCAACAGCAACAGAGTACCGATTGGGAAACTTCGGATACGCAAGGTGGCAGCGAGAAACAGGTACAAATGATTTCAATATTTCATGTAACATCCCAGAAACGCCAAGTACAAAATCGGGACATAAAATGTCTTCAAGATGTCTTTTGCAAAGAATCTATGGCCGGTATTCATAATCCGTTCTTATTTCAAAATTGTCCAGCAAATGAGATGGATAGTGAAATGGATTCAGATTTTAAGAAATATTGATTCACGAATGTTAAAATGAATGCTTTTCAATTCTGAATACATTTTTATTCATTTATAGGAATTGCATGGAGCATATTTCTATGCTTTTCAATTTAAAAATAATATTAGTTTTTTCTATGCACACAAACACAATTGTGAATACTGTTCAATTCAAAATTTTGAATAGGAAATGCAGTTTTTCAATCCAATTGCATCTAATTGAATCCAATTAAATCCAAAAAAAGTATTCGCTATTTAAAATATGCATTCGGATAGAAAAAAATTCCAATCCATTTTAATTCATTCTCGTTTGCTGGGTGTCTTAAGTAATGTCTTAAGACATTAATACGGCCTTCTGATTGATTCGTAACTTTTTAAGACTGTACTTGACAATCTTGAACATAAGATCTAAATATAAATATAGCGGCCTAAGACGCCTTTCAGATGTTTTTAAAACATTTTATGTTCATATTTTTGAACATGCGTGTTTGATTATTCTTTGCTTTCCGAGTCTTCAAGAAAGGAATTGATATTTTTTGTTCAGAGAGCTGCCCCGAGTTCATCGAAATCCTCCCAAGAGATAATCGAAGCTACTGCGGCGAGTGACGAAGAGATGACCACACTGCTGACGCAACTACAGGACGCTCGTAATCAAAGGGCTAGGGAACAGAAGAAGGTATCCGAACTCAGTCATCAGCTGACTACCTTGTTGCAGGAGAACAGCGCATTGGAGGAACAATTAACGGAGTGGCGTAATAAGGCGCAAGATGTAAAGAGTCTGCAAGACGAGATTAGCACCTTGGAGGAAGTTAGGTACGTTCTCATTCATTTCCCTTTCTTGTAGATCGTTCCATATACTTAATTAAAAGCTACATCGCGAAAAGAAATTTATCTTAATATAAATGAGAGTGAATTGGAACGTAAAAAATTGCGTGTTATCGGCATAAAATTTTGCATGAAGATATCGACATGACAATATTTATGAAACAAGTGAAAATGTCTTTACAGACGAGGTCAGTTGTGCGGGCGTTGTTTGCGCGGCATGGACACAAGGACGCACGACGAACTTTCCATAATGCTAGATCAGGAAGAGTATGACGACATAAGCATGGCCGAGTCTTTAATCAGCGAGAATCAGCGCGACTCCGAATTGACTGTACAGGTATTTCTTCTTTTTTTTAACATTGCGAACCACTGTTTATCAATCTGTTTGCACGAATCGAATCTCTTCTTTTGTTCGAGTTTGTCGTTACAATGTCGCTTCTTTTGATCAGTTATGCTTGCCTAGAATAGTAATTATCTTTTATCTGCTTTAGGAAGTGACAAACTTTACGAAATCCAAGCCAAAGACAGAACATAAATGGTGTAGTTCGTTGTTATGGAGGATATTTACTTACACAAAAGTGCCGTTATTATTATTTCATTTTTCCGAAGCAATTGTCTATGTTAGAGCCCATGTCATTGTTCCGATATTGCTCGCGCCTTTTCAAATACCGTTGTTTATTCTGCGTAAAATGTCTCTTATTGTTTTTAAACTTTGGCTATTCAGACATCAGAAATCAAAAATTCTTTAACTCGATATAGAAGAAGCGTAGAAAAAAATTTAACCAATTCCCACACAGCATACTTTATTCAAGAGACATTCTACAAACCTTAAGATATTGAGAGAACATAGGGCTGTCCTCTGAATGTCTTTAGGACGTGTCCTTGGAAATCTATGCTGTATGACATGAAGATAATCTCAACTTCCTAGGAACGATGAAGATTTTAATACATTTAAAATTTTAAAATTAACTCTTTACTATTGTATATAATTACTATTATATGTATATATAATTAATGTTAATATTTAATAAATTTTATTTTAAATGATATTTTTTCTTGAAATGTGTGACGCGCAAGTATAGATGTACATAATATTTAATAATATATATAATA